ACTTTTTGAAATTTGAAATTTGCCGCCCCTTAAAGTCTGCTACCCTGGACAAGTTCCCCATTGCCCCTCCCTAGTGTCCCCCTCCCTTCCTCCCGTCCAGCCAGACGTATGAATTGAGACTGAACAGGCTTGACCTCCTTGTTGTGAAAGCATTTTAAGTAATCTACTTTTACTCTTGTTTAATGAGTGAAAGATGAATGGTAGCTGCTACTTGTGGCTTGTGAATCTTTTACTAGTTTCCAGTTTACTCAAGTATAATCAATAAGCACCTTACTGAAACCAGTAAGCAGGGGCGTCAGGTTTCATGGCGCAAGTTGCGCCATCAAAATTTTTAGAGGGGCATATTTTGATGGGTTTTTGAATTTTTGAGGGGGACGCAAAATTTCGAGGCGATTATGAATTTTCGGACTAATGGACAAGGCTAACACACGGAACTGACAGCAGCAAGTATATTTATATATGATCTACGATTTTTCTAATTCTACCTTAGCTTGCTCTGTTTTTATGAAAGGTGAGGAATAAAATATCTTGGGAGATGGGAAGGTTCTTGCGCCATCGATCTTGGGAGGGATGGGCACACCTGCCAGTAAGTAATTTAAATTTTTATAAAATAGTGAGCATTTTCAGGTACTTCATCATCTTCTACGCCTGCATAACGTTTTTATGTAGGTCATTTACTTTAAACCAAATCGGTAATCTCCCAATGGTTAGAAATTTGTAATGAAGGTAAACGTGATTTTAAATATTTCAACAGCATGGGTATCTATTCTACTGAATTATTTTTGCTTAGAGTATGTTACATGGAGTATAAGCCTCTTTTCAACCTCTCAGCAGCTTAAGATTTGGTAAACGATGTACCAAAAGATACCGAATTTCATAAAGGATTAACGAATTCCGATTCGAGATATATAATTGGACTACAATAAAAAATGTCAGTACTCAGTGAACGCCAAATTGTATGTTCTACTACCTTGATTCTGTGGGGTTTTCCTCTTAGAGGACTCATTTCCAAGTTATAGGGCCATCTATAGTAATTTACCTTTTGGCAAATTTGGTAAAAATCAGCGTTGGTTGATGGTGATTTTATACCTTACGACCTAACCAAATTATAAAGTTATGTACTAATTCGATGCGAAATTTGGCCGCTTACATTAAGGGATGAGCAGCGTCTTAAGGTTTTGGAAAATAAAGTATTGCGTAGAATATTCGGACATAAGAAGGACGAGTTAACCGGAGAGTTCAGACGGTTACACAACGACGAATTGTGTGAACTGTATCTGGGTAATATAATTGAGGTAATTACATCGCGACGAATCAAATGGACTTGTAAAGTTGTTAGGCTTAATAACGAGAGAATTCCTAAAAGGTTAATATTTGCTGTGCCGAATGGTAAGCGTCCGAGAGGTAGACCGAAGCGAAGGTGGGAAGATTGCATTAAAGCCGATCTGAAGGGACTGAGTTTTGGACGGCGAACCGTGGAGCGAGGTGTGTAATAAGCGATTGGTGGTGTCGGTATCGAACCTTCGGGTTCGCTAAGCCTTTTATTATTATTTTTATTATTATTATTATGTACTAATTCGACACAAAATTTAACTTTCTTTTATTTATTAAAGACTACATTTTTTCGCTTCGATGCATCGTTTAGGAGTTATGAGTGAAAAAACAAAAAAATATCGAAAAAATCTTTTTCGATTTTTTTGGTTGTAAAAAGTTTTCCCTTGGTGACCCGCGTTAGTAATTGTTTTTTTCATACCTAAACATATATATGCAAGTTAAAAAAATAAAAACTTTGCTCACATTTTTCGCAATGGATTTCCCTTTCCAATCCTCAAATTACCAGCCTAATATTCTTTAAATCAGCAGTCATTTTTGAAAACAGCGGCTCTGAAACTACAGACAAGGTTCTTTATACTCAGAATAACACACACTTTCGTAATTTACAATCAAACCTTCGCCTGCGAAGAGGTCGATTTTTGGGTCCTGGCTCCAGGGCTATATCGGAAATTCCTTATAGTTTCGCTAATATGACAAACGTATCATTCATATATACATGAATAAATAAATAAATAAATATATAAATAAATATATTTATTTATTCAGGCTTTTGTAGTCATTGGAGATGCTGGAGATACTATTGCGAGAGCTTGGGGCAAGAAGACGCTTTCCTCGCTGCTGCTGCTAATTCTTGGGAAGACTTCAAGAAGGGAAACACGGGGAATGTTATACCGATGGGTTACAGCACTCCTCCAGAGTAAGTATGGATAGTACAAAATATTATGTAAAGCTGATGATTTTGTTTTATTCGAAAGAGCTGATTTTAAGAGCAATAATTTATTTGTTAGCGGTTGAGAGAGTAGCGAAGGGATTTGGGTTCCCCGCCTGATTGTATATATTGTATATAGCTATGTGACAGAATATTATATGTCTAAATAAATAAATAAAAACAAAAACAATTTATTTGAAAATTATTTTTTCGATGGACATGCTTATTCAGTAAGGTATTGCCCTAGTAACGGTGCACTAGGGCACACATCTTTCAGTAATTATTGTAGGCAGCCATTATTAATAAAACACAGAAAAAACTTTTAGAACTATTGGAGTCTAATTAAGAGAAGACTGTTATTCCTGTGGGTAATCATTAATTTTCTTATCTAGATCAGGTTACAGTACCAGTACAATTTAATTCCATCCAGCTTCCTTTCTCTGACATAGTCCGGTATCTTGGCTTTCTTTTAAACCTAAGACTTACATGGAACCCACATACTAGACTCAAAAGACAAGAACTTAACCGAAAAATCTAAACATCTAATTGGAAAAAAATTATTTATCAACAAGACAAGCCTGAAACCTAGGTGGATATACCGACTTGAACCGTGGAGGACAGCAAAATTTTCTAACATCAAACGCATTCAATCAGTTCTTCGAACAATAGTTGATGCTCCATTCTATGTAACCAACAGAACCCTGCACCATGACCTTAATATCCCATTTGTCTTAGACCTTATCCCAGAAAAATTCTCCACATTTCACCAGAACCTTACCTATGATCCAAATCCCCTTGCATAATCCCTATCCAGCACCACCCATCCCTACAATCCTCCTCGAAGATTGAAGCGGCAGTGTCCCAGAGACCTTTTGTGAATAATTATACATTAGAGTTTTGTTATGACCAGATTCTCCATTCAAGCCATGTATGTGTGATTATAGCGGCTCTGATTAGCCTCTCCGGGTCTTGTACCAGTAATGCGGCTGAGTGAGAGACGCTGGGATCTTCTAGAGTCCTGCCTTTCCTTCCACGAGTGGGGAGAAAGGCTTCATCATGAGTGAATGATTTTTTATTTTTTTTAGATATTGTATAGAAGCATATGTGTATGTGGGGGTAGTTATTTTTATTAGTTTAGTTTATTTTTGTCTAGTTTAGTTTATATACATTTACTTTTAGTATTATTGTTTTTCTGTATTGTTTATTTGTATTTATTGATAGAGTGTGAATGTGCTCTCTGAACACTATTATAAATATATTTAATTTTGACAGGTTTTAATATATCTCAATAAATATGGTCAAAAAGAAAAAAAATGTTTTTATTAAATTTGTCACGTCTCGGTTGTGGCGTCATATTGAAAAACGTTAGTTATGTTGTATCTTAGGGCTGAATGAATGTATCAATAACGACACCTTAAGAAAATGGATACATTGATGCTGTCAAAGATCCAGGTTTTTTTTTTTTAATTAGAAATTAGTAACTATTAATGCTAGGTATATAAATATGTTTAAATTGAAAAAAATCTCCCTATATCCTCCATATGTATTTTTAATCATTATTTTTTTATGTTTTCTTTTACAGTACGTCTGGTATTTTTTTCCTTCAAACGTCACATGAACATCCCTATGGTAGAGGAGAAGACGGCCTCAAGTATTCAGAAGAAACTTGTTAATACAAAAATGATTTATTATCATTAATATGCGTTGTATATATCAATAATAATAATCATGAAAGACAGCGAACTCCAAATTTCACTGCGTAAATAGCACCGATTTTCTTCGAAACTATCATCTATATGGTCTTAAACATATTCGTAACTTAGACAATTTTTTTTTCTCTCGTATTTCACACAGTGAGTGAAACACACCATATTTGGCTATCAACATATTAAATTAACATTCAATAATATATATTATTTTAAGCCAAAAGAAAATTCTAACCTTTGTAATCTAAATGAATTCAAAGATCTTTTACATTTTTAGTTCGGTGTCCATAATTATATTCCTTTTCTCCATCAGTACCTACCTCATTCCGTCAATCTGACCATATCGAATTTTATGGAATCATGTCAAATTGATAATAAAGACTCACTCATGAATCTGTTTTCTTATACCGGATTGAGTTTTATACCAGTTGTATATTAAGATCCTGTATTGTCAATGAATAATGGTATTACCGACCAATGTAAAAAATGTATCCAAAACTTACGCTATTATATATTTTATTTTTATGCAGTTTGTATTTATTATCTATACATGACACATATTATTTATATTAAATTTATCTCATATTTTTTTATATTTTGACTAATTTATTATCTATTATGTTTTAATGTTTTGTATTATTATTGTATTAAATAGGATATTATATTATACTTTACAGTTGTTTAGAGATGATGTATTTTTAACACAATAAATGTTTATTTTATTGTTAATAAGGTTTGATATCAATTTATTATTGAAGCCAACCCTAATTGTCCGTAGCGTTTCCCGAAAAAAAATTATATATATATCAGTCATTCATTAATTTTTTCCTTGTCATTTTAGTCCGCGATAAAAACCCATTTTTAAAATCAAATAATTAACTTCCTTCTAAAACTTAGTGAATAGCTTAATCTTATCATAATCTACAAAATTTTGTATTAACAAAATTTGTTGAAAACGCAGCGTTTTCGATTCGAATAAGGTAAACATTGTCTGTTTAATGAACTGCTAAAATCCCATGAACATTCATTTGCTTTCAAATTGAATTTAAAGATAATTTGAACACGAAGTCGAGAAAATAAGTGCTCTGCAAAAATATTGGACCGTTTGGCACGAGCTCTTGACAAAATAACGAGGTTATATAGGCCAAAGAGTCCAATATCTTTATTGACTACTTTTTTCCCTCCGATTTTGTAATATAATTGTCGTACGATTCAACTGGAAACCAAATGGATATTTATAAGTTTTTAATACATCATTAAATTAATTAATATAATAATAAAACGCCCCATGAGAATTTTTTTAGATAAATAAGTTGTAGGTTACGATAAGATTAATGATGTTTTAGACTGATATTAATAATTTGATAAAAAGGGGTCTGTATTGTGGACTATTTCAGTATACAAAAGCTCATGTTAACTATTCTTATACATAACATGACAACGATACATATGCCAGAAAACACACGAAGAAAGTTGAAAATGAGCTGTTTAAGAGATATCCTGAAGTAAATTTGTTTTTATATGGTTCGAATTAGTATCAATTAACATCACATCCGATTATTTCGCAGGCCAAATGATAGGTGTGAATATAAAAATAAAAGTTAAAAAAAAATATATGTATATGAGATTATTTATTCAAAACAAGTCAAGAATACATAATAACAATTGATATTTATTTTTGTTATAAATTATAGGGTTATTTTTATTTTTTTTATTTTTTTTTTTTTTCTTTTTTTTTCCCTTATATGCGATATCACAATCAGGCCATGTCTAGTAGAGCTTCTATCAAGAGAATTCGGCCGTTAGGCTCAACACCTTGTTCTTCGCCTGTCAAACAAAAGCCTCGTCAATGTCGTCAAACACCTGCAGTAACGCCTATTAGCTCCAGAGAAAATGAAACCCAGCCAGGAACATCATCAAAACCAACAATTGAAGAACTTCAGCATCAACCAGGTACATCTTCACAAGAGATAACCGAACAATCTCCGTTTTTCACCCCTAACCCCTATCAGGTGCTTCAGAATGATAAAGAAGTGATGGAATCCGCTTCAATACCAAGAGATCCCCGACCTCCACCCATATTCGTTAAAAACATAAGCAATTTTCAGTTACTATGCTCACAACTGAACAAAATAACAGGCTCTGGAAGCTATTCATGTCTAAGCAGAACAAAGGACACGAAGATATCACCAGATACAGCTGAAACCTACAGAAAAATTGTGAAGTATCTAACGGAAACCAACGCGGATTTTCATACGTACCAATTACGGCAAGATCGAGCTTTGAGGGTAGTCATAAGAAATCTACACCCCTCAACACCAACCGAAGCAATAGAAGAAGAATTGAAAACTTCAGGTTTCATAGTGCGCCAGATTACAAATGTACAGAAGGAGAGTAAAGAACAGCCAGGAGTAAAAGTTCCTCTACCCTTATTTTTCGTAGATTTGGAGCCAAATCAAGGGATCGAAAAAATATACGAAATAAGAAGAATATACTACACAAGTGTTATAGTAGAGAAGCCATATCCTAAGAGGGAAATCGTACAGTGTCACAATTGCCAGGCATATGGCCATACCAGGACTTACTGCCATCATCTGCCGCGCTGTGTGAAATGTGGAGAGCAGCACAAATCCGGGGAGTGCACAAAACCGAAACGGGATCCTGCAGTTTGTGCATTGTGCCTTGAAGGACATCCAGCGAACTACAAAGGCTGTCAGATCTACAAGAATATTAAATCAAGATATCAAAAATCCCGGACCCAAGAAGAAGCAGAGGCATCAAGAAGAGAACCTAACGCATCAAGAAGAGGACCTTCAAAAAAAATTGACCCAACGGTGTCTTTTGCACACTTATTAGGAGGTAAGAATGATGTTACTTATTGTGAGACCCTGCCGCAACAACAACACATACCTCAAAATTCTCAACCCCACCCTCAACATCCTAATCAAACTTCACCTAATCAACAGTTTTATCAACACCAAATTCCCCGCATTCCTCCTCCCTCAAATACCACAGATCTCACCAGTTTACTTACATCTTTCCTCTCCGAATTCAGATCCCTTGTTACTCCTTTGATATCTCTTCTCACCAATCTTGTATCACATTTTATCCCTCCCGCGAAAAATCCTTAAATGACTTCCAATAAACCTTTATCCATTCTCCTTTGGAATGCGAATGGTGTTAGAAATCACACAAACGAACTAACTACATTATTACTTGACAAAAATATTGACGTGGCACTAATTACTGAAACTCGACTAACCACTAAACAGCACTTCAAAATACCACAATACCTGACATATCGTACTGACCACCCTGACGGAAAAGCACATGCCGGTACTGCTGTCATTGTACACCAATCCCTCTCCCATCACCTACTCCCGTTACCTACACATGATTTCCTACAGTCCACCGCTATCGTGATAAAAACCTTTTCCTTTCCGGTTACCCTTGCATCAGCGTATTGCCCTCCTAACCGATCCATATCCAATGCCCAATTCCGTTCTCTCCTCGACTCCTTAGGACATCACTTCATCTTGGGTGCAGACCTAAATGCCAAACATCAACAATGGGGTTCCAGAACCACGAATACTCGTGGCCGAACCCTGCTGTCTGCACTCAATTCCCAACATTTTCACCTCCTTTCCCCCAACTCTCCTACCTACTGGCCTACAGATCCCAACCGTAATCCTGATCTTCTTGATTTCTTTATCCACAGCGGCTTAAGTCCCCTCAATTGTTCCATTACACGTCTAAATGAACTTTCCTCTGACCATAGTCCTCTAATCCTTAATGTTTCACTTGAACCCGTTCCCAAACCTTCTCCACCGTCATTTATTAGGGGCCCAGTTAACTGGGACCTTTTCCGCCAAATCATCTCCGATAAAATTGATCTTAACATATCCCTCAAAACTCCCGATGACCTTGATAGTGCCGTAAATTCCTTTACTACCACAATCCAACAAGCCGCCTGGACTGCTTCCTTCCCAAAAGACTCCTCCAGAATTCCTAAAAAGACCATTCTACCCCAACACCTCCTTGACCTAATCCAAACCAAACGCCGTGCCAGATTATTGTGGCAACGTACCCGACATCCTACCGACCGCTGCTCCTATAATTATTACTGCAAAAAATTAAAACTGGAATTAGCCACCTTCAGATCACATTCCTTCAACTCCTACCTATCCTCCCTTTCTTCTCGCGACAATTCCCTTTGGAAAACCACTACCAAAATCTTAAATCCTCACCGCATTTCCCATCCCCTCCGACGAGATGATGGCTCCTGGGCAGCATCTGACGAAGATAAGGCTGAGGAGTTCGCCATTCACCTATCCAATACATTTATTTCACATCCGGAATCCCATCCTGCCCACACCGTAACAGTAGAAGAATTCCTTACATCACCAATCCCACTTTCCTTGCCCCCAAAAGCTATTCATCCTTCCGAAGTGAAATTTCAATTAAAAAAATTAATCCCCCGTAAAGCTCCTGGACATGATCTCCTTACCCCTCAAATCCTTCGACAACTTCCATCCAAAGCAGTCATATTCCTTACATATATCTACAACTGTATCCTACGCACCACCCACTTTCCTCTGCTATGGAAACACTCCACTATTATCCTTTTCCAAAAACCAGGCAAACCTCCCAATATCTCAACATCCTATAGACCAATTAGCCTACTCCCAATCCTTTCAAAAATTTTTGAAAAGATCCTTTTGAAACGAATCCTACCCATTATAGAATCCCAAAATATTCCTTCCCATCAGTTTGGTTTTCGCTCCCAACATTCCACTGTTCAACAAGGACTCCGAGTTGTTGATCATATTTCCTCAGCCCTAGAAAACAAGGAATACTGTTCGGGTGCATTTCTGGACATTGCACAGGCATTTGACCGGGTATGGCACTCCGGACTGCTCTTCAAGCTTAAAATCCATTTACCTCAGTCCTTGTACCTAGTCCTCCGATCCTACCTCTCTGACCGCTCCTTCC